ATATCCTTGGGTGAGGATTAACAAAAAGAAAAGAAGCCAAAAAGAGAAGAAAATGGATCTGACACAAAAATCCATGCATGTATGTTCCTGCGTGTGGGCCCGTTGTTAAGGAACACCACAACATTTCTGAAAAATGTTGTAAAGCAAAACATGGTTCTGGAAGGAGACCTGTGTGTTCTGTTTTCCTTGATCTCTTTCTGTAGCGTTAAGTACATTACCTCTGTTTGTGTTTTTCCCTGTCCCAGTTTATAAACGTCTCCGAAGTGGTTCTCTCCTCTTGTCTCTCTCCAGAGGTCATGGTGTTTTCAATGGCTGCACTTCACGGGACCCCATCCCCAGTGGGAGCCAGCCCTGTGTCAGAGAAAGGAAGGAAGCATGCGGTCAGGTCTCTCTCATAACCTTTGTGCGGAACACGTGTCTTCCTTTACCTTAAAGAGGAAGCGAGGACGTTCTGAAGATTGAGAACAAATGTGCCTCACTTCCTTTGTGATTTCCCAGCACCTGCCATTCATATATCCCCTTCTGGGGGGAGGCAGGTCCTTGTTGCGTGTTACTTTTCAGGAATACCTGCACTCCGCCTCTTCCTGCTCTGCCTCTCACCAGTCCCTGGTTCCCAAACTGCAGCCACTGAACCTGCAGTGCCGTGTGAACTGCTGGAAGCGTGTCAGGAACGTGGCCTTGAGGAGACGGCTTGGGGTTAGTGAGATCGCCCACAGGACCACGCTTTATCACTTTGGAAAGCCATATGTAGATTCCTCAAATGCTTCGCGCCGCAGGGTGTGAGAGGACCTCCGCCAGCACCTCTGTGAGCGCCTGTGCTTATTAATTCCCTTCAGTGCCGTTCTCTCAGGGGAACAGTTCTTCCGAGGGCTTGCTTTCATTTGTGGGGGCCTAGCATTAACACTCAGCCTTCTTTTCCTTGCCGCACTGGACTTTGTGAAAGACCTGTGTTTTGTGAGATTGTGGAAAAGGCAGGCACTTACTAGAACGGGGGGGGGGGGGGGGGGGGGGAAGGGAACTGGGTAGGGTCCATCTTCTGGGCCTGTTTCTTTCTCTGCACGGGGAGGCATCTCAGTGACCCTCCAGTTCCCTGCTGTGGGCCATTGGCTATTTTCACACATAGAGATGGGCTCAAGAGAGTTAAAATTATGCTGGGAAGAAGAGGCGAGTTTATTGAAATTCTCTGCCTCGTATGTCATGGGACTGGTGTTTTTAAGTTTTTCTTGGCTTGAGTTTGAGAACTGCTGCCTGAGAGACTGAGCACCAGGGGATGGATAAACCTTGGAGATGACGTTCGGGTTTACTGAGTGATTTATGTGCGAGTAGGAATATATAATAAGATCCTGAATATAGGTTTCAGGAGAGCATGATAGGTTTCTGTAATGAATGAAGCATTTATTTTGAACTCTCTTAAGTAATTTAACTGATTTGAATACTTAAAAATATCCCTTTTAGTAAATCAGGTCTTTCAAAATCTAAAATAAACACAACGTTAGTTACAATCTTCTTTGAAATAAAAAGACAATAATTTATCTCTTAAGGATAACAGAAACAGTATATTTATGCATTCAACTTTAAACAGAGATTTAAAAAAATCTTGCTTAAAAGAATTAAAAATCATCAGCTTAAAAAATAGAAAAATCTTAAAGGACTTTTGAAATAGGTTGTCAAGAAGTTGGGTTAACATTTGTTTTAGAATTAGAACCGGGTTATTTGACTTGTACAGCTGTTTCCATTTTGATTGGGAATGAATTATTGATATGAATGGAAAATTAAGAATGAGTCACAAATTCTTACTTTGAAAAATTTCTTAGGGAATTTTTTTGTTTTTAACCTTTAGCTGTGAGATAGCAGAATGCCAGAGAAGTGGCAAGGATTTTTGGAAAAAGCCAAAACAAAAACAAAAACATTAGTGAATAACATTTCTAAGTGCTGACTGAGATTCATAGGTAAAATGAAATAACCAGTACTGGAAAATTGTGTTTTCGTCATTTGGGATAGAGCATGAGGCTCAGTGTCTTCCACCCGTTTTGAAATTAATTTTGAGGTTCTAAGCTCTGCCCAGAGGGCTTGTATGAATTCTGTTGCTTTGGCCTTATCGTAGTAACTAGAGATTGACAAATCATAACTCTTTTAATTTGGCTTAATTAAAAAAATGTTAAGGGCCTCCCATGTGCCACATACTCTGCAAAATCTTGGGGATGCCAGGGAGATGGTGATATGGTTCTTGCCCACAAGTTGCTCATAGTCAGGTAGGATAAATGAAGTTTTATTTATGGATGGATGAGGCCGGTAGAGAGGGCTGTTCTGATGTACAATTATGTATGCATTTAATACACATATATGTTATATATCCCCATATTTAGTAAGTTACTAAATTATTTGCTAGGTAACAAATTGCCATAGACTTATAGCTTAAACCAACACCCATATATTACCTCAGTTTCCATGAGTCGGGAGTCTGGGTATTACTGGGGTCCAACCCCAGCAGGTCCAGGGGTTCCCAAAGGTGTAGACGGAGTCAGCGAAGAAGGAATGACACGGAGACAGCGTTCAGTTGATCAGCAGCCTAGCCAGGATCTCTAGCCAGGATCTCCAGCCAAGTTCTGGTCAGGATCTCCAGTGAAGTTCTGGTTAGGATCTCCAGCCAGGTTCTGTGTCCATGTTCTCTTGCTAGGTTCTATCCAGGTTCTGTAGCCAGGTTCTGTCTCTAGGTTTCTGTCTCTAGGTTCTGAGTCTAGGTTCTGTGGCCAGTTTCTGTCTAGGATCTTTTGCCATGTTCTCTCCAGCGAAGTTCTTCTGTCTCTAGGTTCTGTGTAGGTTCTGTGTGTAGGTTCTGTGTGTAGGTTCTGTCTTCTAAGTTCTGTCTCCTGTTGTCTTTTTACATCTGTATTTATACCAGTTGATTCGATCCTATCAATCTCTATTCTAAAGGTTAGGGCGTTTCTTATCTCCATTCCAGGGAGTAAAGATTATGTAGCTTAAGCATGATTGTTCGTAGTTAAAGTGATTAATTACCCGCCTGGCACTTAGTTAAGGGGTTTTATTCCCTCCCTAACTTGAGGGGAAAATCCCTACCTGGGGAAACAACCTTTCTCAGAGAGGTGACCTTGGTTAAAACACATAGTGCCAAGAAGGTGAGCAAACATATTAAGAACAGTATGCCATATATGCCAGGTCCCTTGAAACAGCAAGGATGGACCGGCTCCCGGCAGGGTATGGCTTAGTTGGTTCTCGGCTCAGGATCTCAGAAGGCTGCAGTCAACGTGTTGGCCCAGCTGTGTTCTCATCTGGAGGTGTGAATGAGGAAGAATCCACTTCTAAGCTCATTCAAGTTGCTAGCAGATGCCATTTCCTTGTAGGTGTAGGATTGATGTCCCTGTTTTCTTGCAGGCTGTCAGCTGGGGGCTTGCTCTCAGATCCTTGCTATGTGGCTCCCTCACAAGCCCTGTCATGACATGGCAGCTCACTTCTCTAACTCCAGAAAGTGAGTCTTACTGTCTAGTCTGCTGAAGTGGAGTGGTACATAGCATAACCGGATGAAGGGAGTGACATCCCATTATTTTTGCCATATTCTGTTGGTTAGAAGCAAGTCACAAATTCTGCCTGCACTCAGGTGGAGGGGATTATACAAAGGTGTGACCTGTTGGGGGTCACCTTAGAATTCTGCCCACCCCAGTACATTTCTGGTTGTTCCACTGACTTGTGTTCCCAAGAAATCTGATCATAATTTAAATGCCAGGAAGACTGATGAAAGCGCACTCCCCGTTGAGAAATAAAATCTGTTATCTGGCAAATCACTAGTGGATTGTTTTCTTCCCTCAGTGGTTAGAAAACAGGCAGAGAAAATAATGCCTGTAGGTTCACAATATTGATAGGAAGGAATTACACAAAAATAGTGAGGTGTTTGGCTCTTGTGTTTGGGGTGGACCGCCACAGGAATCTCACAGTATCCTCTGGCTAGACATAGTCATTTTTAAAATCTTGATGTCTTAGCATTGGCCGATCACTCAGGAGTGGCATATGGCAGGAACACGCTTTGAGGGACAAGTCTCCTGGAGAGTACACTGCAGCACACAAGCTGGACAGATGGTGGCTTATTCAACCTTGGACAGGAGTGTAATCCTACTCATTGGCAGGCGGCGGGCTGAGAGGTGCTTGTGGTATCTGAGGCAGAGCTGACTTGAGTTTACCTGAAACGGCTTTGTAAGGCATGAGGTGGTCACCTGATGTGACCTGGATGGCTTAGTGCTCACAGAGTCTACTTATCAAGTTGGGATGAGGATGCTGGTGACAGATTGTGTGACCTGGAAGTGGACAGAGTCTGGAGCACTAAATGGAGGACGTTCTACTAGCAGAGTGTAGGGCAGGTGTAAAGACAGCCTTGTAGATAGAATCACGGATGTTACCACCCTAGCTAGGTCTTCACTAAGCAGGGGTTGGTGTTGCTCTCACAAAATTAAATATGCATTTCATGGGTGGAAAAAGGTACGGGGCTGGACCTGCCTTTCTTTACCATGAAGGATCGGTGGATCGGTGTGTTTGCAAGATAAAAATTTGGATTGTTAAGAAAGAGAATGGTCTTTTCACAGCCATAGTTAGAATGTTTATGATTTAAAAAAAAACCACCCCAAAATCCAATTAGGACACCATCCATTATTTGTTTGTGGCCCCTCATTGAAGAAAAGGACTGTGTGTTCAGAAGAACAAGTGTGGATCCTTTGATTGGAAGATGAGAACTCGGTGTGGCTGCTGGAGAGCTGACGACAGGGAGATTTTGTTCCCACTTCAGTCACATCTCTTACCCCAGACTTTTAATTCAAATCCCCTCCTCCTTTTCTTTAATATTTGATGCTTATTTTTGTATTCTTAATTTATTCATTTTTGTATTTGTGCCTTTAATTGTGACAGTCCTCACATATTTTTTGGAACTTGGGGAAGGGGATGTATGAAGTGAAACCAAGAAATGGTTCACTGAAATTCTTTATTTTTCCTTTTAGCAGTTCAAGTTCTACATTTGTAACATCATCCACTTACAAGACCATTTCAAGAACTGACATCACTTTTCATACAGCTTAAAAGGTGAGTAGAACTTAAGACTCTTCTTTCTTTTTATTTTTTATTTTTTTTAATTTTTTTATTGCTTAAAGTATTACAAAGGGTATTACATATGTGTCCATTTTATCCCCCCGCCCTAGACAGTCCCCTAGCCTCCCCTATCCCCCAATGTCTTATGTCCACTGGTTATGCTTATATGCATGCATACAAGTCCTTTAGTTGATCTCTTACCCCCCTACCTCCTGCCCCCCAACCCTCCCCGACCTTCCTGCTGCAGTTTGACAATCTGTTTGAGGCAGCTCTGCCTCTGTATCTATTATTGTTCAAAAGTTTATAATGGTCTCTATTATCCATGAATGAGTGAAGACTCTTCTTTCTTAAAACAAAATTTTAAATTGATTTTTAGAGAAAAAGAGAGGAAGGAAGAGGGAGAGCGAAAAACCATCGATTGGCTGCCTCCTGCACGTCCCCTCAACACGGGCATGTGCCCTGACCAGGAATTGCATGTGCCTTGACCAGGAATCGAACTGGTGACCTCTTGGTCCATGAGATGATGCTCAACCAACCGGGCCACAGGGCCAGGGCCAGACTCTTCTTTTTGATAATGTTTGTGAAGCAGACCTTGTCCCAGCACTAACCATTGAGATGGTGTTCTTCTCAAGAAAGTTGCACCCACTTCTAGGTGTAAAAACTACTAGCAGCTTTTTTCTGATAGGAGGAAAGTTGTATGATATCAGATTAAATATGACCTTCTTGTTTAATACACAAGCATATTCCCAGTGGGCCAGAATATATATTAAATATTTCTAGATTTACTAAAATACCTGAAGAAAAATAATTTTACTATTTTGCTGAGCTTGAGCATTTAATGCCCAGACACAAGGGATTCTTTATTTCTCATTCTAAGTTTTTTGTTTTTCTTGGCTTCTTACTTCATACACGGAATAATACTATGGTTGCCATGAGAAATAAATGAGCCACCCTGCTTAATACAGCACTTGGCATATAACACACACTAAATAAATGTCAGTTCCTTTCTCTCAGCTTTGTGACATCAAGTGAGCAGATTTTCTTTGTATCGGTAGTACACATGGTCTGTACAGTGAAGTGGGGGTTGACTTCCTAATTTGCTGCATTTGGCTTTATGTTTTTTGGAGGGTGGGGTGTAAGTGGCTGGGTGCTGGGGTTTCTGGAACTAGAAGCTTAGAGAACCCCTATGTGTTTTGGTTACCTCTGGACATCCTCAGACTCAAAGCCTACATCGGAGCCAGCCCCAGTGGGGATAGTCAGGAGGGGCCAGGCGCATCCTGCCCCCCTCAGCCTGCCCGCCAGCTTTTCACCCGAGGCGGGCCTCTTCACAGCTTTGTGCCTCTGTTTTTCTCAAACTCTTAAGGGATTTTAGTGATTCCTGTTCTGCCCAATTACCAGGCTGTGGGAGCCTCAAATGGAGAAATATTGAGAGTCTTCAGGAAAGTAAGAAAGGCTCTAAAATATCAGGCGTAACTTTTTCCTAAATTTTTAATGTGCCAGGTGTAACTCACTGTTGATGCTAAATCCCTTACTAGAATGTAAGCTTTGTAAGGTCAAGGACCCCCCCCCCCCCCCCCCCCCCGCGCCAACGCACACACTTATTTCTCTTTTTCTAAGGCCTAAAACACTTCCTGGTACACAGGAGGAGTTCAATACAACTTCTGTCAAATGAAATGACTTAATGAAGATCACTCCTGGAGGCTCATTTAGCCTTTTCATTTGTGCTTGCTGTTGGAACTAGATGAGGCGATGGGCGAATCGGGAGGGATTTAATGTGCTTCCTCATTGAGGCGCATGGAAACCTGAATTTAAATGGAGTTTTCACAGTTTGGAACCTTCCTGAAACTGTAGGTGCTAAGGAGCACACGGCATGTAACACACCACCCTCTCAGTCAGTGTTGGGTGCAGTTCCTCTGTGTTGCTGCGTGTGTGCAGTTCACGTGTTTCTTTCCTGAGTGGATTTCCCTACCAGACATCGGAGGCTTGGAGCCCATTCAGTGGGCTTGCTCAGGTGGGTGGTAAGCTTTCGTGGCGCATTCGGGCCGCGCGCCTCACGGATGCTTAGTGACTGATGAAATACTTCCCATTCGTGTGTTTCTTGATTACTTGACGGGACGCCATGATGTTTGAGAACCCCTTGTCTTCCCTGGCTTGGTGTGAGTGTTGATGAGCTGAGTGTTGATGAGCTGGGCTCTTTTTCTTCCATAACTTGGCACACCCACCGCCAACTTTAAGTGGAGGTGGCCTCTCAGCTTTACCAGGGCCCAGAGAGTGTGGGCGCTCTTTAATTTCTCTTTCATCATCTCAGATATAGTCCTCTTTGACTCTACCCACCAAACACTAGAACTGTCTTCAAGTAGAATTTTACTGAATAACTAAATACACCCCTGGATTATGCCTCTAAGGACTGTACAGCTTGATTTACAAAATTTCAACAAAAGTAGAAATAATTTCTTGCAAATTACATAAGTACCTGATTTCCCCCGTATATGGGGTTACTGCCTCTGTCAGCTATTTTAAGCAACTTTCAAAATTGGTAATGGAAAACTTTTTTTTTTCTAGCTACATTACTGTATATGGATTTTAAATACAGAGGTACAGTGCTCCTCTGAACATCAGAGCAGTTAGAGAGCAGAGCCTGTCTACAGAACTGCACGCCGCTTTGTGCTTCTCGGGTCATTTTCTTTCTTTCTTTTTAAATTAATCCTCACCCGAGGATATCTTGATTTTTAGAAGGGGATGGGGGAAGGAGGGAGGGAGAGAGGGAAGGAGAGAGAGACAGGAAGAGAGAGAGAGAGAGAGAGAGAGAGAGAGAGAGAGAGAGAGAGAGAGAGAGAGAGAAGAAGAAGAAGAAGAAGAAGGAGGAGGAGGAGGGGGAGGAGGAGGGGGAGGGGGAGGGGAGGAGGAGGAGGAGGAGGAGGAGGAGGAGGAGGAGGAGGGAGGTGAGAGAGGCACATTGATTGGTTGCCTCCTGCACATGCTCCCACCAGGGCCCAGGATCAAACCGGCAAACCTGCAACCCAGGCGCATGTTCTTGATCAGGAATCGAGCCCTTTGGTGTGCAGGCTGATGCTCTACCACTGTGAACATGGGCCAGGGCTCAGGTCATTTTCAAGCTCATACTGGGATTCTGAGATGTTTTAAGAACTTTGCATGTGTAAAGGAGGTTCTTAGAGCTGACTGTCCTGGAATTTATAATCGCTCTGTTAGTTGTGGTGGAGTGCTGGTGCTGTGACTCAGTTGAGCACAGAGCTGGTGAATGTAGGTGAAGAAATCATTATTCAAGCTTTTGCATGATTTCTTGTCCTATTCATGTGAGAATGAAACCTCAGACTGAGAACTGGTTGGCTCCCAGCACAGACAAGAAAGTGTTAGGTGGGGAAAATCCACCTCTCTCTTGTTTTCCCCCAAGGTCCTTAAGGGACCTGAAGTGGATGGTGAGGACCAGGGAGCCATTTGAAAATCAGCCTGAGACCTGTGGTTCCTGTGGGGAGATGTTCCAGCAATTAAAAAATAACCTTAGGCCCAGCCGGCATGGCTCAGTGGTTGAGTGTCAACCTATGAACTAGGAGGTCACAGTTTGATTCCTGGTCTGGGCACATGCCCAGGTTGTAGGCTTGATTCCCAGTGGGGGACATGCAGGAGGCAGCTGATCAATGATTCTCTGTCATCATTGATGTTTCTATCTCTCTCTCTCTCTCCCTTCCTCCCTGAAATCAATTAAAAAAAATAAAAAAATAACCTTAGATATAGATAATGCACCCCTGACCTGGATTTCCTGTATTTGCATTAAATTTAAGCTTTTATAAGGTAAGTCAAAGAGGATCAGTGGTGCTGGGAGAAGTACCACCTTTGAGTCCCTGATGTCTACAGTGGCACATAAAGTAATGCTTATTTTCTCTGGATGTGTCCTTGGTAGTGTACAATTAAATAGATTAAACCATGAAAATGCGGTCAAACAGACACATTCCGAGCTGTGGTATAAATGACCCAGTTCTGCTGGGGTTCCCAGCCTTGAAGGAGGACTTAGACTGTGCCTTACAGTGAGGTTGAGAACATTCAGAGGCTGGACTGAGACGTCCCATCCGTGTGAGGAGCCGGTGCCTCTCGCCTTCCAGGTTGTCATCAGGGAAGTAATGCCAAGGTTCCCAGTGGGTGGGGTGGATCCTAGGGAGACTAGTTTTAGGGTCCCCCTTGGCTTCTGAGAGCCAGCGAGAAGGGTTCTCCAGGCCTCATTTACCCTCCCTCCAGCCGGCCCATGTCTGCGCAGCATCGGGGACTCGGACCTGAGCTCCATCTCACTGCTTTCCCTCATTCCTCAACTCCAAGGTTAAGAGTGCACTGTGAAGAGATGAAAGTCAGCAAGGGCGTCAGGGATGCTCTGTGCCATGTTTGAGTTAGGGGAACACAGCAGTGCACCGGGGACGGCAGCAGGTAGAGCCCCACTTTCACAGGCTGGGAAGAGGAACTTGTGGCCGCTGTCATTTCTGTCTGTGGCTGGGTCCTGGGGAAGTTTCCTTTGTCTGTTTGTTGGATTCTGTCCTCCTGTGATAGGACTACATTGTTTTCTTGTTAAGTAGACTCTCAGAGTTGTATTAGAAAAACTCCTTTTCACTTTTCGCTTTAAAATCAAACATGCTAGTAGCCACATCAGTGGAGGCCTAGCACAGTAGTGTCAAACTGCAAAAAAGCTAGCAAATTTTCCACCTAAAGTTTTTGTGGGGGAAGTAGGGGTGGGGGGCGTGGGGAAGAGTATAAAAATAAGCCTTTCAGAGATTTCGGGTTGCTTGGTGGAGTGTGTATTTTTCCATGGTGCGGGAGGTTAGAAATAGCACTGCTTTTTATGGGATTCTCAGCAGCAGCCCAAAAATTTGGCTTTGTGGGCTCAGTCCCTCTGTGTGGGCGAGGCAGCTCCTGCAGCCTGTGGGTGGGGGCAGTGCCTGGCAGCATGCTCTGGCAGCGTCTCTGTCTGTCTTCCTGCCTCCCCGCTCCCC